ATTTTTGCCGCGCATACCGTTTAAAAAAACCCCATACCGATTTTCGTCCGAGACGCGTCCAATGTGCCCTCAGCCAGCCTCACATGTGCCGCTCCGTCCCATTGTTTACCAGCCAGCCTCCGCGGTAACATCCAAGCATACACTCGGAATATTTCGTATTATTACAGTATTTTCGGTGCTGTTTCTGGAAAATAAGTGACCATGGGCCCCAAGGGAAAGCTTCTAGTGCCAACCCTACACCTAAAAGGGTAAGAATTACTATAGAGATGAAGAAAGAGATAATTGATAAGTATGAAAGTGGAGTGCTTTTATAGCCGACCTAGTCAAGCGTACAGAAACCCCAATCAACCATCGCTACTATTGTGGGCACCAGAAAGAAAAACAAGGAAGCTGTTCTTGCCAAAGGTTCAACTGTTTTTCGAAACAAAGATCGAAATTTTGATGGAAGAGTGAGAGACTCTTTTTGGGTGTGGATAAAGGGAAAAACAGATAGCAGGAGATAGCGTCTCTCAAGCGATCATATGTGAAAAGGCTAGGAAGTTGATGAGGATTTAATTAAAAAAATGCCTGCAACTAGTGATGATGTGATGAATTTAAGGCCAGCAAAGGTTGGTTTGAGAGATTTAAGAAGCGTAGTGGCATCCATAGTGTGATAAGGCATGGTGAAGGCTGCCAGTTCGGACCAAAAAGCGGCTAAAAAATATTGTGCAGGAATTCAAGGAGTACATAGAAACTGAAGGATGAAACCGAACAAGTGTTTAATTTGGATGAAACAGGCCTGTTCTGGAAGAAAATGCCCAACAGGAAACCTAACATTACTCAGGAGGAAAAGGCACTCCCAGGGACATAAGCCCTAGAAAGACAGGCTACTTTGTTTGATGGTGGCCAATGCTACTGGTGATTGCAAGTGAAGCCTTTATTAGTGTATCACTCTGAAACTCCCGAGCGTTCGCAAAGAATGTCCTCAAGGATAATTTGGGTTGCTGTGGAGGCAACAGTAAGGCATGGGTCACTAGGGAATTTTTCTATAACTGGTTACCCATGCTTTTGCCCCCAATGTGAAAAATTACCTAATGAAAGAATTAGAATTTAAAGTCCCTTTCCTGGTTTTAACAATGCCCCTGGCCCATCCTACAGACGGGCAGAAGCGACTTTATGGGGACCATGAGCTCTTTAAAGGAAAGTTTTTGGGCCTCCTAATACCACTCCCTCCTGCAGCCATGGCCAGCAGGTTATTGCAAACTTCAAAAAAAACTTTTACACAAAAGCTCTGTTTGAAAGGTGCTTTGTAATGACCTCAGAAACTCAACTGACTCTAAGAGAGTTTTGGAGAGATCACTTTAATATCCTCAATTGTGTAAAACCTTATAGGTAAAGGGTTGGGAGGAAATGACAAAGAGGACCTTTTAACTCTGCTTGGAAGAAACTGTGGCCAAATGTGTAGACAAAAGGGATTTTGAAGGGTTTGAGGCTAACCCTGAGAATCCTGTGCCAGTTGAGGAATCCATTGTGGCATTGGGAAAGTCCTTGGGGTTGGAGGTTAGTGGGGAGGATGTGGAAGAGTTGGTGGAGGAGGACAATGAAGAACTAACCCCTGATGAGCTGATAGATCAACTTCAAGAGCAAGAGGCCAGACCTGAGGAAACTGGTTCAGAGGGGGGGAGAAGGAGAAATTGAAGAAGTTGCCTCTACAAAGATAAAGGAAAACTGTGCTAAGTGGCTTGAAGTGCAAACCTTCATGGATGAAAATCACCCTCAACAGCTTTTTGCAAGCCGTGCTGGTGATTATTACACTGACAATGTTGTGAAACACTTTAGGCAAGTCATAAAGGAACGAGAGGTACAGGCCACTATGGACAGATATCTTGTGCGAAAAAAGTCCAGTGACTTGAAGTGGCCCTGTGGGATTAAAAGAAGAAGGGAAGTAACCCCAGAAAAAGGACTTACTACCTCAAGTCCTAATGGAAGGGGGTTCCCCTTCTAAACACTAACCACACTCTCTCCCCCCTCCCATCCCACAATCATCACCAGATCTTCAATAAAAGTAAGTGTCATTTTAATTGTGCATGCCTTTTTCAGTTTGTGTGTATTAAAATTAACATTTCATGTGGTAAAAAAAAATTTTTTTCATACTTTTGGGCGTCTTGCAAAGGATTAATTTTATTTCCATTATTTCTTATGGGGAAAATTCATTCGCATAACGATTATTTCGCATAACGATGAGCCCTCTTGCACGGATTAAAATCGTTAACCGGGGGTCCACTGTATTTCCTCTTATCTCCATGGGGAAGTGGAACAGAATTCTTCCTCCGTAAGCCATGCGTGTTGTAAGAGGCGACTAAAATGCCGGGAGCAAGGGGCTAGTAACCTCTTCTCCTGTATATATTACTAAATGTAAAAGGACAAACTTTCGTTTTTCCTTTTGGGCCACCCCGCCTCGGTGGGATACGGCCGGTGTGTTGAAAGAAGAAAGAATATATATATATATATTAAAAATAATATATATACAGTGGACCCCCGTTAACGATTTTAATCCGTGCAAAGAGGGGTAATTGTTATGTGAAATAATCGTTATGTGAATGAATTTTCCCCATAAAAAATAATGGAAATAAAATTAATCCGTGCAAGACACCCAAAAGTATGAAAAAAAAATTTTTTTTACCACATGAAAAAGTTAATTTTAATACACACAAACTGAAAAAGGCATGCACACTTACATGACACTTACTTTTATTGAAGATCTGGTGGATGATTGATGGGATGGGAGGAGGGGAGAGTGTCGAACTTATTGTTTAGAAGGGGAATCCCCTTCCATTAGGACTTAAAGGTTTGCAAGTCCTTTTCCGGGGTTACTTCCCTTCTTCTTTTAATGCCACTAGGACCAGCTTGAGAGTCACTGGACCTCTGTCACACAACAAATCTGTCCATAGAGCTCTGTACCTCCCGTTCCTTTACGATTTGTTCTAAAAATGGGCCACAACATTGTCATTGAAATAGTCACCAGCACGGCTTGCAACAGCTGTGTCAGGGTGATTTTCATCCATAAAGGTTTGCAGTTCAAACCACTGTGCACACCCTTTCCTTAATTTTTGAAGTAGGCACAATGGATTCCACAACTGGCATAGGCTTCTCAGGGTTTGCCCCAAACCCTTCAAAATCTTTCTTAATTTCCATACTAAATTTTCACCCTTTTTACCACAGGGTTGGGACTAGAAGCTTTCTTGGGGCCCATGGTCACTTATTTTCCAGAAACAGCACCGAAAAAAACTGTAATAATACGAAAAATTCCGAGTGTATGCTTGGATGTTACCGCGGAGGCTGGCTGTAAACAATGGCACGGGCGGCACATGTGAGGCTGGCTGAGGGCGACA